TTTATCGTGTTGGGGAGCAATAGAATTAGCTGGGGTTAGGAAATACTCCACAATTCAAGGCACACATTTTTTTTTTGCTCTTTTTTCCTTTATTCTTATTTCACCTCAGGATTTCTAGGTCTGGGAGTTGAGGCATAAATTGCTTTTCAACAGGGGTGTTTTATAATCATATAGAATCATAGAGTTGGAAGAGACCACAAGGGCCATCCAGTCCAACCTCCTGCCATGCAGGAACTCAAAATCAAAGCATCCCTGGCAGATGGCCATCCAGTCTCTGTTTAAAGACCTCCAAAGAAGGAGACTCTTGCAACACATACTAGGCAACTCTCACCAGGGAAGTTTCTTTCTTGATTGATTGATTGATGGATTGATTTTATGCTCAATCATGCCATGCAACAGATATAATAATTCATTACTAAACATTTCCATTTTTACCCTACACACATTTCAACCTTCCTCTCCCTCTGATGGCTATAAATAAGTACTTTAGTAACCAATACCTATAATGTGGAATTTCCTGTTAATAGTTTCTGTAAATTCATTGTACCCCTTTTCAGCTTTAACTTTCTCAGTCCAAAAAACTCACAAGCCCCACCAGGCCATTTCCTTTATTTCACCATTATGTTTCCCTTTTCTCTCCCTTAAGATATTAAATAAGATATAGTCTGCAATATAATATGACCTCAACATTGTCTAATTCTCCATCCCAATGCTATTACAGTGTGTGCTGCTTTAAAAATTTTTTAACATAGTATTCTGTTTTATTCAATCCCAGTTTTCTTACATCAAGGTTAAACAATCCTCCTTATTAAACTGGAGCTTTATTCGCATCATTCTATTTATCTCTTATTAATCTTGTGCCTTAAGGAATGATGGTCCTTCGCATAAAGAGATATCCTTTTGCTGTGGAGATTCTTTACTTAGAATAAAGTTTTTCCTTCAAAAGCACTTTGTATCTCTCATGTTCCTCTTCCATATGCCTTTGCTTGGTCTAGCTCTTTCCCTGGGATTGATGGAGGGAAGGAAAAGTCTCTGCAGCACCAGAGACTGAAGTGTGGAATCCCAGTAAAGTCTCATTGCATTGCAATAAAGGGAGAATTCAAATGGCAGCAGTGGGATGGGGTGGTGGTGGCTACTGATCTCTGGAGCTCCCATCCAGGTCCAGCAGAAGCAAGAAGAGGGGACTTCAGAGACCATTGTATCGTCTGTCGACTTATGGTAACCCCATGAATTTCCTAGGGTTTTTTTCAGCAAGGAAGACTTAATGGTTGTTTTGCTAGTCCCTTCCTCTGAAATATAGCCTACAGTACCTGGTATTCATTGGTGGTCTCTCATCCAAGTACTAACCAGGGCTGGACCCCAGTTAGCTTCCAAGTTCAGATGCAATCTGGTGCTTTTAGGGCATTCAGGCTGTAGGGACAAATGTTGCCCTAGTTCTTTTTACTGCCCACCCACATCTGTGAAAAGATCTTGTTGTGATGAAACCATAGTTAGACCATTCTCATTACTAAGACAATAGTTACAGCTTTTGTTCACTTCAAATATCCTTCAGAAGCTGTTACTCCAGAATAATGCATGCCTACCTTCCCGGGACCCCTTCCCCACTGCCATTCCCTTCTCCTTTTGTATCATGTCTTTTTAGATTATAAGGCTGAGAGCAGGCAATTGTCAAATTAATAATCTGTATGATGCTCTGAAAGCCTTTGTAGCTGAAGAGTGGGTTATAAATACTCTTAAATAAATAATAAATGTCAACACCCATGTTAGTGTGATACTTTATTATGCCACCCATAAGGGTACAAACAAGTATGTAAGCTTTCAAGATCCCCAGAGTTCTTCTTTAGCCAAGAGGTTAAAATGAGAGATGGAGGAGGAGGAATGGGGGGGGGGGAGGAATGATGTGATATTTTTCATGACAGCATTATATAGTGTCCTGAGAGTGATGCAGAGATCTGGAGATCTTGAAAGTTTGCATTGATGTATGTGTCCTAGCCAAATGAAGGTATTGCGCCCACACAAATTTTAGACTTTCCCCCCTCATGCTTTTCATGGCTACCTTTGCTTTTTCTTAAAATATGTGTTCTCATACATTATTTATTCATTAACAAGAGATCTCTGTTCTTCCTGAGCTCTGGAAGAAATTCAAACATTAAACCAAGTGTTTATTTATTCTTTTCCATTTATTGTCTCCAGATGGCTCAGGGTAGATACTATTACTAATATTATGGGTTTTCTTTTAAGATCAAAAAGTATGCAACATTTACATTTGGTTCTGCATTTCCTTCTTCCGGAAAAGGGAAATGAGTGTGCTTTCATGTGACTGACAATCAGAGGAACTTGTGAAAGTGACAACTGTATAAATTCAGCTCACCACAACCTGAAGTGTCAGTTGTGTCTGAACTGGGCTGGGCCAGAAAGAAAGGCAAAATGATGAACCAAGAACCTGAGCGAGAACCCAGGCGCATAAGAGAAGGATACCTAGTAAAGAAGGTAGGCTTGCACAATTTTCAATTAGCAGAAAATATATTTTAAAGCAAACTGAAATGTTGAGCTCACAATCCTTGATTGAACCTGCAAAGCAGGAAGAACCGTAACCTTCACCTCATGGGAAGGTGCATTTATATGGCATTTATTTACATTAAAAATATCTTCATTAGTCATAGCAGAACTTTAGAATGTTTGGAACCTGGAATGATATATATTCTCTGGTAGCTCCCAGTGGTTCAAAGTTGCCAACATACAAAGCTGCATTGGTCAAACACAACAATGCTAATGTTATTCCCATCAAGTTCTTTAGCATAGATGTTGTAGGACTAGTACATGCCTCATGAATTTCATGCTTAGTTCGGCAAGGAATACCTAGAGGTGGTGTGCCATTGCTGCCTTCTGAATATAACCTACAGCACCTGGTGTTTCCTGGCAGTCTCCTTTCCAAATGCTAACCAGGCCTGTCCCTGCTTAGCTTATAAGATCAGATTGGTTCTGGTGTGTTCAGGATATTTAGGAACTTTGCCTAGATGATCTCCCCTCAAATGAGTATTATGAGGTTGGAACCTCTCCTTTCTGGTCTCTCTACCCCTCTTTCTTTTGCATTATGAATGTTGCCATCTTGATTCTAGGATGCGTTTCCAATAACTCCATTCTTTCAACAGCCACTATTAGAAGACATGTTACAGAATAAGTAGGAGCGATTAATACTGTTTTACTCTTTGTTAGCTGACTGTAGTGGCGTCACCAGGGTTAGTATCAGTGTGGTAACTCATGGTGTCATCTCCCCGTGGACCTCCTTCCATACCACACCATAGAGAATCATAGAGAATCCTTGGTAATGTTTTTTATACTAATGTGATTCATAAATCGTAATCCCCACATATCACTGAACGTAATGGCAATAGTTTTGACATAAACTGACACAATTAAAATTGTGAAACATGCAGGGGTAGCTGTGCTGGCCATTTAGCAAATTCAAACAAAAATCCACCAAACAGTGTGATGCCTTTATTGGCCAACCAAAATGCACAATATACTTGTTGCAAGCTTTTGAAGCTCCACTGGCTTCTTCATCAGGCAAATGTTACAAACCAAACAGGAGAGTCTTTGTAAACAGGAGAGTCTTTGCAAATCTGCCAATAGCCCCATGGCCAGAAGGAGGAGGGGCCAGCCTTCAAAAGATACCCTCCACTTACCATCTTAACCAAGGACAGAAACATCAAAATGCAGCCATCTGACTAACAACTCCAATTGTTTTTTCTCCTGTTTGGTTTGTAAAATCTTGCCTGATGAAGAAGTGGAGCTTCAAAAGCTTGCAACAAGTATATTGTGCATTTTGGTTGGCCAATAAAGGTATCACTCTTTGGTGGATTTTTGTTTGAACAATTAAAAGTATACCTTTAAATTACAATATCATATGCACAGCCCAAATGTATTTACAATATACATGTGGTTAAAGAGAAAATATGGTAAGATGTGATATTTTCAAAGATTTTTTTTTAAAAAATAAAAAATTAAATGTATTTTTTTTAAAAAAAAACAACAACACCTGGCACCTCTCCTTTCTCTTCCCACTGAGTGTTGCCCCACTCACACCATCTCTTCAGTGTTTTAAAGGGATGAAGGTGGACATCACAACTCATTTCTGTCAAAACACAGATGTTTGGGGAGCAGTGGATCTTCTGGTGTGTGTCACATCCCCCCAGTGATGCTCCTAACTGACCTTAAATACCTCGAAGATCCATATTTTAATGGAGACTGCAAATACTTCATGCTATTCTTGAGTTCATAACTGATCAGTTCCTCACTTGGAAGCCAGCCTTCCAGTGATGAGCCTTTCTCCATTCAACAAGGATGGTCCTTGGATGGCAGACATGAAGCAGGATGAAAGCAGGATTTTGTGAGGAGCCTATTGCTTCTCAAAAAAAAAAAAAAAAAAAAAAAAAAAAGCAAAAAGGAGCAACCAAAGTCTGGTTTAAATTGGACAGAATGGTTATTCCTAGGGAATATACTTCTATGATGATTAAGCATTAGATTCTGTGCATTTCTTCATGTGGAATAAACCGAGAGCCTAACTACATGTGACATTGGCAACCAAACCATATGTTTTTTCCCAAATTAAATATCAGATACAGTGGGGATGAGTGGGAGGTTATTATAAAGGTTGCTTCACATCTCAGCCACAGTATTTAGAAAATCACCCCTTCCTTGCATGCCAATTATTATTCAAAAAAATAAATAAAAAACCCTCCTACCTGTACTAATGGGAAGTGTTTTTCCCCTAACACTAATAGCTGTGCTAGGGTGTGTGTGTGAATGTGTGTAATGGAGACACTAGTTGTGAAGAGAAGGTTTAAGTCTCCCCTTCCCATGCAATCTTTATAACACTTGCTTTCCTTTCATTTCAAAAGACATATGTAATTGCTTTCACATTATTACCAGCATCTTGCTGTTGACATCATATATATTTAGACCCTGACATACCCTAATCCTGACAGTTATTAAGTATAGTTGAAGTGGTGTAGTGGTTTGAGCTTTGGACTGTGACTCAGGGGGTCCAGGGTTCGAATCCTGGCTCAGTCATGGAAACCCACTGGGTGACTCCGAAAAGGTCACACTCTCTCAACCTCAGAGTGTAGGAGATGAAAGATAATGTTAAAAACTGCAAAGCTCATGGCTAATTCGGGGCTGGATTGGATGACCCTTGGGGTCTCATTTTCTATGTTTACAACTGTACATTTGCAGGCAGTTAGCAAAAGGCTTTTCAGCTCTGCTTCACAGATAACTAAGAAATGTTTTTTTGGCCTTGAAGTCTAGGCTAGTCAGCTTCAAAGCCGAAAGTAGATAAGGGAGGAAAGCTAAAATGGTTCATGCATGGCAAGTAGAAGTGTAACATAATCAGCAAAGGAGTGGTTTTGGAGTTGTGTCTTATAGCCAATGAAAGTGTGGAATTATACATATATTACTATAATTATACGTTAACTATGTAAGATGGTGTATAAGGATGTTGATTATATCAACGTTGACATTAAAAGTAATAAAGGAATAAACTCAATCTTTCCTGATTCAAGGGTCTCTGTTTCCTGTTTTACCCACAACAAGAGGATGAAAATAGCAAACTCCCTCTGAAGAAAGTTGCAAAGAAAACCCCATGATAGGTTTGTCTTAGGGTCACCATAAGTCAGAAATGACTTGAAGGCAAACAACAATAACAGCATGGGGAGATATTTTCAACAATCAATGGGATGAATGCAACTCTGTTGATCCCATATTTGTTGATAGGGCTTTGGGTCAAGCACCAGGATTCTGTACAAGTAGCCATCACATACACTTTCTCACTAGGAGTACAAATGATCCAAAGCATGTAGCTGCAATGAAGTGGCTTCCATGTAGACATATAGCCAAATGTGCCCACAGGTTCTCAGTCATCTTCTCTAAAGAGACAATATTTGATATTCCAGGGGAAATTTCCCATGGTTTTCATTCTCAAGAGGAGAACACAGGAAATCACATTCACTCAATGCAATGAACAGCAAAATCAAAATGAACCCCCATTACTGAGAAATGGGGCAATTAAAATAATATTACATATCCACAGTACAAGATAAATGGAATGTTTGAAGAGTAGGTAAGATCTAAAAGCAATCACAGGAAATGTCCACACAACAAGAGAAACTTCACTAAGCATGGGAGGAACTAAAATAGGGTTCTGAAATACTGCTAAGACGCTTCCAAAACAGAAGTAATTCTGCATGGAAATTTTAAGTCCATTTTCAGCAGTGTATGAGAGCAAACTATGTGGAATCGTAATCAATCTCATTTCCCCCCTCTCTAATGTTTTGTTTGTTGGTATGTTTGCTTGTTGGGTCATTACTAACTTTTTTTGCACAATAAAATGAAATTCAGGGCAGCTTGCAGTACAATTTAAATTGGAAAAACAAAACAACAGCAACAAAAAAATAAACAAACTCTTCCAAAATAAACCCAATGATAAAGGAAACAGCAACCAAACAGAATTATAAATATTGTAATAAAAATCAGCTAAAATAAGCCCATAGGAGTAAATAACCTTTAAAAACATGCAAGACAGAACCTGATAAGCCTATGTTTGGAATCGATTTAGCTGGCATAATGGAAAAAGTCTTCTTCCTTACCCCGATTAGCTACACTTCAGTTAAATAAGAAAAGCCTTGGAACACAGATCTTGGGCAACATATAGAAAAAGGCAATTCCTAAGGGAAACCTGGTCTCAGGCAGTTTGGGGTCTTAAAACACAAAGTCAACATTTTGAAGTGAAATAAACTGAAAGTCAGTGTGGCTGGCACAAAATAAGTCCAGTGTGGTCCACATTTCCAGCCTCAGAAAAAGTAATCTTATGGTAAACCAGTGGTACCTTCTGGACTGTCTTCAAGGGCTGACCCACAAAGACTGCATTATAGTAATCCAACCTGGAAGGGACTAATTGTGCAATCCTAGGGGGGGTGCAGACTGCCAGAAATAGTGCAAATTGAGTCCACTTTTAGGGTTAGGGTTAGGGTTAGGGAATCATGGGAACTGTATTTTATTGTGGCACTAGAGCTCTCTGATAGAGAAGGCTCAATGTCTCAGAAAAAAAACAATTCCCATGATTCCCTAGCACTAACCCTAACCCTAAAAATGGACTCAATTTGCACTATTTCTGGCAGTCTGCAAACCCCCCCTAGTTATGTCTACTGAAGTCTATTTCAGTGCAGTGGTACTTACTGTCAGGCAACTGGGCATAAGATTGCAGCTAAGGCATGAATAACTGAGGCTAGGTTTTGAGTGTAGTTGTGGAAAAGCTTTGCCAGATGTCTCATGCTAGCTGTGAGTTTGACTTACCAGCAGAATATATGTGGTAAGATTTTCTGTGCCCTACAGTTGGGGAAACCATTATTTCTAGGCATGCGGTATAACAGACAGAAAAGAAAGGAGAAGTAACTTTTTAGGGAAGTTGCATGGCAACCACTTTATATTCATTCCTCGCACTCTACCTTGAAAAAAGCATCATTTGTATGATAAGAAAACTCAAAATACCTCTGCCATCTTGGTGTTGCTTTTTGACCAATTTAAAGACTTTGCTTCAGTCTCAAGTGAGAATTCGATGAAATCTACTCAGTTCCAACTACCTGAAAATTTCCAAAGCAAATTAGAGCAAAATCAAACAAGCTAAAACAAAAGCCGCTGTGCTAGTCCAAAGATTCTTCTACACTGCAGAAATAATGCAGTTTGACACCACTTTAAGTGCTGTCACTCTATCCTATGGAATCTTGAGATCTGTAGTTTTACAAAATCTCTAGCTATCTCTGCCAAAGAGTAGTGGTGACTCACAAAACTACAAATCCCAGGATTCTGTAGGATGGAGCCATAGCAGTTAGTCGTGTCAAACTGCATTATTTCTACAGCGCAGATGCACTTCAAGAAGAAAAACAGAAATTATTGTTGGGATTTTGTTGGGATTCTAATCCCTTATTATCCCCCATTTTGGTATTGCTAGTGTACCATCTAAGCTGTCCTCGATTCTTCAGAACTCCAAAACTTCCAGACTTTTGTGACATTTTGGTTGGCCCTAATAGCAGTGTAGGCCAATTGCAGATTGTGAAAATTTCCATTTGACCTAGGGAGTTTATCACACGGGGAAGTCCCATGCAGAAATGAAGCTTTACTTTCGGAAAATCCCAAAAGTAAAAAGAAGCAGTTTTTGACGAGTTTCCATTCGGATTAACCTTATTTTATCTCCATTTTAACAGCGATGTCATCTGAAAATCTAACCGCTTTTGCAGTTTTTTTCCAATTTAAAGCCCCGTTTCTGCATGGGATTTCCCCCTGTGGATGAATTCCAAAGGCGGCACTGTTGTACACTGGATAACTACATAACATAATTGTATAATTTTAAGGTGATTATGATTTTAGTGAAGATTTTATTTCAGGTATTATTTTAATAAATGTCTATCAAGTTTTATCTTCAAAAAGAAACCTAAATGACTAGTAATGAGGAAATGAAAAGGGGAAAATAATATATGTAGACATTAATCAAAGAGATAGTAGGCACAGTAGGAGGAAAACAAGTATCAGCCAACTAAAGTTAAGAGCAATGTAGCAATAAAGCCATACTTTCAGAAAAGAGGGGGCGAGGAACCCCAAAAAAAGACCCCCCTTCCCCAGGAACAGTTAAAGGGAGTTCTAAGTTTCATTGTATGGAATGGTAACTGCTTAAAGAACAAGAAGCAGAGAGAGGAACAAGTGAGCAATTCTTAGAGTGGAGGAAGAGTTTTAGGAGAGTTAAAATAAAAACAGCCTACATGCAACCCCATGGTTGGTCACACTTGTTGTAATAGCGTGTACGATTGGGGCTGCTGCACCATACAGCTAGAAAAGCTGCAGAAAGGGGTAACCAAAATGATTATTAGACTAGAACAACTCCATTAGAAGGAAAGGGTAAATAATCTTTGGGGTTTTTATTTTGACTGACCAGTTTCAAATCTCCTGGCCAGAACTTATGGCTAATTATGTTTCCTATGGATGTCTAACTGACCAGTCATATTTGTTGAGGCATACCCATACCAGACTAATCCAAACAAAGCATGCTTCTCCCCCATTCAGGAGTGTCATAATGCAACTCCTGGTCTTCTCTCACATTGCAGTTTGCTGAAGAAATGGGATGACAAATCACTAAATGCAATCTGGTCAATGGCAAAAGGACTAAATATCAATGGCATAGTCAATTAAAGTCAATCAAAGCCAATCATAAGTTAAATTTTGTATATTGGCCGGACTCCTGTCGGGCAGTTACAAACTGCATAACCTAGTGACAGTTTCATATTTACGATCCCTGCATAGCCCCTTGTTTAGGAACTACATAGCAACATTGAAAGTCTGATCAATGGGGGTCTGTTCCAACTGTCAATCAAGAAAGTCTGCTCCCCATCACATGAACAATCTCCACTACAAGGGGCAATTGCCCCCCATCACATAGTGAAGGACACAAACCTCAGGATGTGAGAGGCAATGTCTTCAAGCCACTGGTATATTAATATATGTTTAATTAATTTATGGATTAATACATTTATACATGTTCAAGGATACCTAGTTTACTGGCAGGGAAGGTATGAATGAGCTAACCATTTATTCATACAGAATATGCATTTATTTTATTCTCTCCTGACACCTACTCAGTGTATCAGTTATTCAAATGAGGTTTACATCTTATCTTTTTGTTCAGTACACTAGACTCTAGTGCCCACCCCACTTTTAGAATATCCTACTGCCTGTTGTCAGGCATCTCTAATATACTAAGGAGATTATCGCACAAGCATAAAACGTGACTTACCCCTCCTGAATTCAAGTAAAATTCAGGCTGCATCTGGGTCCTATTGCGTGGTTTTTGTCGCCAAATCTGCCATCTGAATGCAGTCCAAGTGTAGCAACTTACTGGCACACTTAACTCACTTTGTGGCCATTTTTCAAAAGTCAGAAGCTTGAGCTGCATTTGGATGGTGGATTTGGTGACAAAAGCCATGTGATAGAATCGAGATGCAGCCCAAATTTTACTTGAATTAGGGAGA